TCATACTTCTCACACCATTATACTCAGTCTTCGACCCTCACACCTCCACTAATATGGCTCTTTCACAGATCTCCAAAGTTCTGACAGATCCAATTTAGTTTTTTGTCCTTATCTTGATCTTGCTGTGGCATTTGATAACTGTTGGCTGCTCCTTGTAACCCCTTTCTGTTGACTTCACTGACACATTAATTTATTCAATATCCAGTCAATATTTATTGACCACCTACTAACTGTCAGGCAGTATGCTAAGCATTAATGATAGAACAATGAGCAAGAGATGCATTTTTCACCCCATACAGATGTTTTACTCCAGATTTTGTATTACACAGCCTTTACTTTGAGACAAGTCTCTGCTACCTATAGTTGTGTGAACTTAGGCAAATTTCTTAACATTACTCACCTGTAAAATGAGGACAATTAAACATATTTACTTGATAGGAATTTTTAAGCTATTTAATAAAGTAATTTATGAAAAGTTGGGCACATTGCTTGGTACTTGCTTTTTCATTCTTACCGGCACTGCCTAGTTCAATCTATAAAGACATTGCAACATTCCTCTGGCTGCTGTCTTTGACTCTCGTCATGGCTGCTTTAAGTCCATCTTCTACATTTCTGATTAATTAACAACTCATTACCCACCCCTGATCCCCAGTTGTTACCCACTTAACTGCTTGCCGTTTTTACCTGACCGTGCTAGGCTCTTGTGCCTTCCTGGTGGGTCATCAAAATTCCATGACTGTCTATCTGCTAGTGTGCTTGTTCCTTCTTTCTTTGCCTTTTAAATAAACCACTTTTTCTTCAAGTTTCCCTTTAAACATATTTCCCTGAGGAAAGGTTAGACATCCTTTTTTTCTGTACCTTTTGTAAGACTCTGACTCTGTTACAGCCCAATCACGCTGTGATTTAATTATCTGTAGGGGCCCATGTGAAAAAAAAATGTGTTTAGCTGTCTTGGTATCCTTAGATGTGGCACAACTGTAGCTTTAAAAACTTTATTATAGTTATCCAACAAACAATGTTTGTTTAGTTTCTGTGAATGAAGTCTTAGTGTCTTAGGTATGCAGACATAAATGGGAAAAGGTCCTTGTCCTCAAGAAGTAAGTGCACAGCATGAAGCCAGATGGATAGCAGATAAGGGACACAAGATTCATGTCATGAATGAGCAGACTGTTTCATTTACAGTTGAAGGATGTCAGCATTTAGGCTATTCATTTTTTTGGAGATAAACTAACAATAACTTAAAATTCTGATTTCTAAGTTACTTGTTAATAAAAGTTTGTTTCTTGGGGAAATGTATTCTTATAGATCTAAATGTCAAGCTGTCATAGTGTCTTATGATAGAGAAGATGAGCATTGTCTACATGTTTTGAGTGATTTACTGTAAGTAGGGGTTTGCATTAGTCGCAGGTGGAACCTTGGAGTGAGCACTGCACACAGTTGTCGGAGCTGAACTAATTTCCCTGTGCTTTCTACATTTGGAGATAAAGGCTAAATAAAGTCTTGGCTCTTGATTCATAGCATACTTGCAAAAGCTGAAGTGATCTTTCCCTAGTTTTAATTTTTCAAAGTCTTAAGTTTTTTTTCCTGATTTTGCACAGTTTAACATTTGTGAGGACAAAAAATTTGGATTAGGTAATTGAATATTGTGGTTTATATAGAAGTACTATGTATGGCATTTGAGTGTAATATTCAAAATAATTCAGTTTTTCATTATTGGTACAAGTCACTTTTGTATCTTAGTGGGCCTTGGTGTCATTTGAGAACTACCAAGCCCCATACCTTAAAGTACAGAAGTGCTTTTTAAGGCAACAAGGATTTCTATTTCATAGGGTGCAGTTACTCATTCATACAGTAGTTTTTGTTGCCTCTGGTGAATTTGCCTGTTATTTTTTTTGAAGATTCTTTGGAATTTTGACATTGGAGATAGAACAGAAGCATATAAGCTTACTGTATTATATTTACACATGTGTTCTTAGTAACTGTGAGGACACTTTTAATGCTGTGAAAAATGCAAGTTAGAAGAAATTCTATTTTTCTTTTCTGTGCATAGAGATCCTAAGTCCTTTTAAGGTTCAACTCTTCAAAGTATGGAAGTAGTCCATGGAATATTTTCAGTGGCACATAGGATTTTGTAGTTCAGCAGATATGGTCAGATTATACAAAACTTTATTGTGAATTTAGTTTTTAATTAGACATGTATAATTAAAAGTTTTAATAGTGACAACATTGTGAAGGGACATGAATTTAATTTGTATGTAGTAGAATTTTTTAGTTATGTTATAGTGAAGGTGATATAAGAATTTGCACAGCAAGATGTTTTAGTGAAGGCATTTTCATACAGACAGTAATCAAACCGGAGTATGGGTTTATAAGCCAAGAGAGAAGGGAGATTTAGGAGGAAGAGTTGATGAGTAGAATCAAGTGAAAGGAAAAACAACAAACAAGGTTACCTAAGATGAGGACAAAACAGTATATACTGGTTTAAGTAGTTATAAAAGCAGTTTCAGTGGAGCAGTTGGAACAGGAGCCAAATTGCAATATGTGTCATCTATCTTGTTTTCTCCCACACTAGTGAGCTGGACAGATGAGTGCTGTTATTATCAATTCCAGCCGGTATTGTTGTTAGTGAATGCGGCATATGTTGAAGGGCAATCTTGTAATATGACCCTGTGAGTGGCAACTGATGTTTTTATCTTAATAGGTGACTTTCTTAGCTTGCTTTAAACATCAAATCTATGCAACTAAAATTAATGTGAAATGCTTCATAATGAAGGGACTCTTTTTTCATGTAGATTTTTACTTTTTTCATTTTCCACATTGATTTTAAGAACTTCTGTGTCAGACTGGCTTTTTAACTTCGCTACTGCAGTGTTTAGACTCTATAGTGAGGTCTCATAAAATACTTGATTTTTTTTTACTCTATTCATTAACTGATATTGTTGAATGCTTTATTTTATCACTCCTGGGTGGAGAGAACCCCTGGAGGATAGTAGGTATGGACAGAAAACCAAGCCATAGACAGCCTAAACTGCTCTGCACTCTTAACAGGGCAGTACTAAAGTGATCTATCTTTTCCCAGTCCTGCCTTTCAGGATCTTTTCATAAGATGGAGTAGAGTAGGCAAGGGAATATTAAAACATAAGTTACATGTATTGATTTTAGCTCTGGGGGATGAAAAAATCCTCTGTGCTTCTAAGTTTTTATGGCTGGTCTAAGAATTAAATTGACATAAAACAGATTCACAGAAGAAAAACAATTTAATTATGGATGTACTGGGCTCCATAAGATATGGGGCCTACAGACGGTCAGCAACTGGGGCTTGTACGTCATTCTGAACTAAGGAGAAGGGTAGAAGTCTGATACTTCACAGGTGGGGAAGGCAATTCACATGGAGATGGAAAGGCAAGTGTTTATGGGGTGGGTCATGGGGAGACAATGGGTTACAGAAGGGACTTTGGTCTCTAAGGTCTATTACACATAACCCATATTCTTAGTAGTTATCTTGAGTCAAAGATCTTCATGGACCAGGCCATTTATTGGAATTCTTTTAGGCAGTTAAGGGGGAGGTAAAAAGCTCTTCCTGAGTTTTTTGTTTCTTAATAATCCTCATGACAAAGAGACATATTTTGGGGTGACAAAATCCTGTTTCCCTATATAATCAAAGTAAAAGGGTGAAACAATAGAGTGATTCTAATATAAGTTTCCTTTAGCATACAGATTCAACTCTTTTACATGTGTTGTATTCCTCTTTGGACCATCAATTACCGCTTTTTTTTTTTTTTTTTTTTTTTTTTTTTTACCTCAGGTCACCCTCAAGGGTGAATCTACTTGATCGCATGTGCCTCTGTTTCTAATCAGTACATGCATTGAGTGTGTGTGTGTATCTATATATGTATATATGTATTTTTCATTATAATTACATTACTATAAGGTAGAGTTCTTTCTTTCTTTTCTTTTCCTGCCACAGCATCTAGGAATGAGTATGAGCTTAGAAAATTAACAAAGACTTTTAACTCTACTTGGTCCAATTACAACTCCACTCTTGGCTATTTTTACTTTTTTAGGTGAAAGGATGCAAAGCATTCCACAGTTCTGCCATTTTTAATTCCCTGTGTTGTCTCTCACTGAGGTGTAGCTGACCTACAGGACTTCCCCTGAGATTGCTGACTTAAATCCTTCTGTTTATCCTAGATAACCTGATGCATTTCATCACTCATACACCATAGATTCCCTTTCTGGTTGATATTCCACTTAACAAGTGGATTTTGTTAAGTAAGGTGGTAATATTGGATGGACATAATATAGAGACCTTATAGCTGCCTCTATAAAAATCCTTTAACAATGAGTGAAATCATTAAAGAAAAGATATTATTTGTGCTAATTACAGCAAAAGGAATAGGGCAATGAAAAGTTAGATTAACAGCATTTAAAAAGTTATTGCTCCAGGGGTTGGGGGAGGGAGAAATAAACAGGTGAGAGACAGAGGATTTTTAGGGAAATTAAACTACTCTGGATGGTGGAAACACATAATTATATACTTGTCAAAACCCAAAGAGGACAATACCAAGGGTGAACCCTAATGTTAACTGTGGATTTTTGGGTGATAATGTTTTGTCAATATAATCACTATAACAAACGTACTGTTGTAGTGCACTATGTTGACTGTGGGGTGGGGGACTTGTGTGTGGAAGGCGACAGGAATATATAGAAAATGTTTTTACGTTCTTTGTGCTCAATTTTGCTTTGAATCTAAAACTGTTCTAAAAATAAAGTATGTTTAAAAACAAACAAAAGAGTTTATGCTCATTAACATCTTAGAACCATCCAGAAGGTGAAATTTACTTTCTCTGCCTCAAAATGGATGAATTAACCTATTTGGGAAATTGGCAAAACTCTCATATTTCACCCACTTAGCTACCTCACTTGATAAGTATTTAAAAGCTAGACATTCAATTATTTATGTTATTCTTCACTAACATTTGCTTCCCATTTACCTCTAGGTTTGAAGTTTGAGGAAATTCAAGAAAGATTTGGTGAGGAATTCTTTAATATATGCTTTGATGAGAATGAGAGAGTCCTTCGAGCTGTAGGTGGCACGTTGCAGGACTTTTTTAATGGCTTTGATGCTTTGTTGGAACACATTAGAACTTCTTTTGGAAAACAGGCCACTCTGGAGTCACCATCATTCCTATGCAAAGAGCTTCCTGAAGGTGCCCTTATGCTCCACTACTTCCATCCTCACCATGTTGTGGGCTTTGCGATGCTGGGGATGATTAAGGCTGCAGGAAAGAAGATCTATCGGTTGGATGTGGAAGTGGAACAGGTTGCAAATGAGAAATTGTGCTCTGATGGCTCAAACCCAGGCAACTGTAGCTGTCTTACTTTCCTTATCAAAGAATGCGAAAATAGTAATATCACAAAAAACCTTCCTCAGGGAACCTCCCAAGTTCCTGAGGACCTGAGAATTAGCATCAACACCTTCTGCAGAGCCTTCCCTTTCCACTTGATGTTTGACCCCAACATGTCAGTGCTTCAGCTGGGGGAAGGCCTGAGGAAGCAGCTCCGGTGTGACACTCACAAAGTGCTCAAGTTTGAGGACTGCTTTGAGATTGTTTCTCCAAAGGTGAATGCCACCTTCGAAAGGGTCCTGCTGAGACTGTCTACCCCATTTGTGATTAGGACCAAGCCTGAGGCTTCTGGCACAGAAAATAAAGACAAGGTAAGTGGCCATGAACTTGAGATGGGTGATGGAAACTAGAAGATTGCATAATTATTTCAGTAAATTACATGCTGGCTGTACTTGTAATTATTTAGGCAAGAGAGCTTAAAGTGCCATTTAGAAAATTACTGATCCCTGGATGTATGTAATAAGATTTGGCCCTACTCCCAGCCATTTTGCATAGTGTTTGCATATTCCATTAATTTATTTCAGCATATAAAAAGAAGACATTTATTAATACTAGCCATATTAATTACAAAAATGATAGGACTTGTTAAAAATCTGATACTGTAAACCCATGAATGTTTTCACTGATTGAAGGCAAACTATGAGAGAAATGGTAAGACTGGTTTCAACATTGTGGGACTTTCTTGCCTTATCCTTAAATAAATAAAGGCCAAGAGCTAGCTACACTTTGAGTATGTTCTGTTCTAAATTTCATAATCTAGGAACATCTGGTTTATATTATAGTTTTGTCTTAATGTGCAGAATAATGTAGTTTCTGAAAGTTGGAAATGAAGTAACTCTCAGGAGTTCTAATTAAATTTTAGCCCATGTTTCTTTAGAACATATTTACTCCTTGAGAGAATACATTGAACACTAGGAATTTTTATTGTGGATTTCTTTGAAGCCATTTGGGAGAATCTGAGTTATAAATTATAAATAAATGATGGAAAGAACGGAAGTACATCTTAACATAGTTGAGTTTCAATAAACGTATTTCCTCAGATAAATATTTTTTAGAAAAAGTCAACCACAAAATAAATAATAATATGTGAAGAAAAAACAGCCATGGCTATTTTAAACTTGGTGATATATTTTCAGTGATTAAAAGGAAAAATTAATGTTTATTACCAGAGTAGACATTTGAATGTACATTTAGTTTTCAATAGAGTTTCAGTATTTTGTATCAAGATAAATATTTTGTATCAAGGTAAATAATGTTCTCTTAGGCTTGTTCCCAAGCATTTTGGGAAATGTGTTGGCTTTCAGGAATGAATAGGTTGAACTGGGCTGATGGAAGGAAGTGTTGCAGAAACAACTGAAAACTCAGTGAATGAATAATCTACACATATTCCAAAGTGCCTGCAGAAATAAAAAAAAAAGAGGAAATAGCCTCCTGAAAACAAAGACATTTTTGAAGATTTTTAAATCAGTATAATTTATTCATTTTTATAATTTTGAAATTCAACAGGAAAATTGTAAACAAATAATTTGAGAAAGATGAAAGGATGCACACTTATTCATGACTGAATCAGGTGATTTAGGAATCATCATTCAGTAGTGTTTTCATCACATAAATTCAGTGATTTGAAAACATCTAAGGAAAAGCCTGCAGATTCCATTTTGGTATGTATTAGGATATTTTAGTCTGAATGCACTTCATTATTTTTATTTGATTATACATGATGTTTTAAATATTATTTTTCACTTGTGCCATGTGTATGTGTGTGTATATACATACACACACATATATATATTTTCAATAACTGCTACCCATTTTGAAGCTTTTTAGACTGGAAGAAAGTTGTTAAATATATATATATTTTATATATTTATATATATTTTTTGTATATATATTTTTTGGCCATGTTTGTACTTGTGTTAAAAATGGAATTATTCTAATTATTCTATCTTTGTAATGCAGGGAATATTAAAGTGTTAATTCTGTATTACAGAAGTACAATATTTGGTTAGGAGGATTTGTAGCATCTCTCTGGCTTTTAGAATTGAAGTTAATATTTTTAAAAATGTGCCTGAAGTAGAATATATTATTACCGACGTTAATTGCTTTATATTTTTGGTGGATTTGAGAAATATTAATTCAACTTAAAGTTACTGCTTCAGATCCCCCCCACTCCATATTTCATCTGGCTACATTTCTATTTAATTTGTATACCAGTGTAAGAAATAGACATAATGAAATGATGATTCAAATGTCAAGGCCCCCTGCCAGTTCCAGTAATAAGGGACTGTGCTCATTGAGAAGATGCAATTATAATTTAAACATGTCAGTGGCAGTTTAAAAATAAAACAATAGGCAGGATTTTTGGTTGGAATAAGAACGAGAGTCTTGTCATCTTACCTTTACATTTCTGCTCATTTATCTGGGTTTGCCAGAATGGGATATTTGGGAGGTTCCAGTTAGCCCAAATAGAAACTAGTCAATAAAGTTGTGGCCTGGAGTGGGTCTTAACTAGATGCATAACATTTTTGAATTATTATGTTGCTAAATTCTAAATTCATAGTCTTAAAACATGGAAATAAGAAAGAAAATCAGGGTTAAAAATTGTTACTATTGATAAATTTGACCTTGATATTCATTATTTTCCCCACAATAGCTGTTTCTGTTAATAACTTTGTTGTCTAATGTTTCTAATTTGATAAGAAAGTGTTATTTTAAAATAATTTAGGATATTTATTTCTTAGTCAACAGTGAAGGCTTTCATGATAATTTAACTATTTTGGCCATTCATTTAATACCTATGAACCACCACCCCTGCCATCAAAACAAAAACAAAAACAAACCAGCAAAAACAAAAGTTAATCATGCAGTTGAATGACGGTAAATCATGTGCAAAATGAACTGTAATGCTTTTGCTAAACCATGACCTTTGTCATTTTGTGTTGTCAGTCAGTGCGTAACTGCATGGCTAGAGGTAGAGTATGTTTGTGAGCAATTTGATGAGCTACTGATGAAATAGGAAACCATCATCTGAGTTATAAAGACATAAGAGTTGGTTACCAAGCAGCAAGAATGTCACTGACAGGCATCTGATGCAGTAATTATGGCCAGAATTTAATTCAACAGAATTTTGAGGTCAGAAAGAACTCTTCCAGATGGCTTGACAAAGTGTTGATTTCCATTTTTAATTTTGTTCCCTCTACATCTTCTCGAAGTGATCATTCATGCCTCACATATTCTTCTCTCTCAATTTTCTATTTTTTCCATATGGCATTCCTATGTTTTTATCTTTTTAAAAAATTTTGTTTATTTATTAGAAGATTTTTATTTATTTTCTTTTTAGACAGAGGGGAAGGGAGAGAGAAATACAGGGCAACCTCTGTATGAGAAACATCAATGTGTGGTTGCCTCTCATGTGCTCCCTGCTGGGGACATGGCCTGCAACCCAGGCTTATGCCCAGGCTGGGAATCGAACCAGCGACTCTTTGCTTCACAGTCTGGTGCTCAGTCCACTGAATCACACCTGCCAGGGCATATTTATTTATTTTTAAACAGGGGAAAGGAGGGAGAAAGAGAGCGAGAGAACCATTGATGTGAAAGAGGAACATTGATCAGTTGCCTCTCACACTCACTCCATCTGGTGATGGAACCCACAATACAGGTGTGGGCCCTGACCAGAATTGAACCGGAGATCTTTCGCTTTGCGGCACAGTACCCAGACGACTGAGACACACTGGTCAGGGATGTTTTTGTCTTTGTTTAAGCTCAATTCCTTTTTTAATCATCTTCTCTTATCAGATCTCAAGCATTAAATATGAATAAATTAGTTTACTATTTAAAAATAACAGATTCAGCTTTGGGGATTAAGACTTAAATGGGAATCCATGTTAATTTGTGCATCTTTCAGGTTATTCTAATCTAATATTCTGAGAATTTGGAAGTTCATCACCTAGATCTTTTGAAGCATTGTGGCAAGTTTAAGAAGGAATTTGTTACAGTCCAATGTGTGTTCAGGTATCAATATTTGGTCATATAAACCTAACTCATTGACTTAGATCCCAGCACTTGTCTTGTATGTAAAGGGCCGTGTTTGTAGTGGGACTATTAGAAATTGGAGGACTGGCACGTAGCTTCATTTTCTGCATTGTAAGGTCATGATGTGTGGGGCAAGTGGCAACAGACTGGGAGAGAGGTATCTCTGACAATCATCATTTTAGTAAATCCCTATAATCTCTGAGCCTCAAATTTATTCATTTGGAAATTAAGGAAACTAGACTAATAATAAATATTTTTACTCCTTTATGAGTCAACCTTAACAATATAGAAATTTATATGAGGTCAGTTGATAATGAAGCTTTCTGTCATCCCTATAATTCAATGAATTTAGGTGCCTTTTTAAAAAAGGCAGAGAGGAATCTGTCTTTTCAACCATACAGGCTCATTCTAATATGGAGACTAAGTTAAAATAATTCTCTGGCACCTTTGCTGTCAAATAACTCAGAAAGTCATTTGTGAGGATTAAATGGAATACTCTTGTAAAATTCTTAGTAAATCTTTGGCCTCTTGGTTAAATAAATGTTAAATAAATGTTCATTATTATTACTTCTACCACTATTAATGTTCCTTTCTACTTGTTACATTCCTTCCGATCATTTTCCTCCTCATTTCTTTTATTTTTATTTTTATTTTTATTGTTCAGATACATTTGTCTCCATTTTCCTGCTACCACTTTCCCCTGCCCCACCCACTGCCGTCTCCCGCCCTCAATCCTTCCCCACTTTGGCTTTGTCCATGGGGCCTTTAGACATGTTCCTTGACCGGACCCTTCCCTTCTTTTACCCGTTACCCCTCCTCCCTCCTCCCTTCCTGTTACTGTTGGTTTGTTTTTTCTTTAAAGAAGTACTGGAGGTGGTTAACAGATTTAATAATTTTAAAGAAATAGCAAATATACCTAACATCTTTACAAAATGTGACTTGGGACTTGATTCTCGTCTTTTTAATAAAAGACTGGAATACCCCTTGTCACTTTCTCTATAGGAACTCTGTTTAGATCTGCTTTTTATGTAGACTGTCATTGTTTTAAAATTCTTGGTGTTTTTTTCAGAGTCATGAAAGTTTGGAACCAAGGTTTTATTACCTGTGTCTACTAATATGTTTCCTGTTCACTTGCTACAGCGCTTGGCTGTGCCTGTGGCTTCTAAAATAAAGTGGCCTTCTTAGCTTAGGAACGACCTGAAGCAGCAATGGATTTTGACAAACAATAAATAACATGAACTCTTTTGACATTTTTTCTTAGTAGCAACACTTCAAAGAA